AAATGGTAATTCATATGATAGTGCTGTCGAGTTGTATAAATTTTTGATTGTACTTTATTTGAAAACATATAACATTGTTTCTAAGTTTGATATTATATTCATCGAGTGAGTTTACGTTGATAATATTTTAAATCTGTTGGCATGCGAAGGCGGTGGCTCCATGTTTAATCTCGCTTCTCGGCGTGGGCATCTCATTTTTGCTATACTACGCCTTGCGCTTGTCACGACTGTGTCATAATGTTATGTGTGTAAATAATATTTCTAAGTATTCAGAACGCAATTTAATGCACACATATCTCTTAGTAATTTAACATTTTAAAATATGTATAATAATAAAAAAATTATAATAATTGTAATACTAAATTATGATTGCATAATACAATGAACATAATGAATTTTGCACTTGTGTAAAGTAATGCATCTTTATTAAAGTACTAATGCTTTTAGTACCTACAAGTTTAAGAACAATGTCTCGCTATACCCAGTTTTCTTCACAAAGTAAGAATAAACTGTTTCATTATGAAATTGTCTCGTTTTGTAGTTTTCCGTCGGTTCATTAATTTTTAGAGCTTTTTTTAAATCTTTCAGAGTTCACAAAGTGGTGGTAGCTCCAGTTTGGCGTAGTTGTACGTCGGAGCTTAGTCCGTATGAAGTAAAATTTTCCTCTTAATTTAACTTAATTCGTATGGCACACCTATTTACCCGTTAAGAATTTGAAAGACAATATCATCATTAATTGCCGAATATTATGTTTTACAAGACACTGCACTCCTCTTATTTGAGGCTGATTTAAAACTTTAGTTTCATATAACATTATGCACGTATGTTTGGATACATTACGCAAACAGAACTCAACTACGTGCTTTTACCTGAAATTTGCATAATGATGTTAGAAAATACCCTTAAGCCTAAGAATGTTATGCACTCAAGGTAATCAACGAATACTAAGACAGAACACGACCCAGCGATATTTACTTCGCTTAGGAGGTATGAATGCATCACAGCAACTTAGCGATTGCTCATCCAACGGCAAATTGAAGACGAAAACTTAAGTTTGTTTAAGTTCCATTCAAATTCTCATGTTCACTTTAAGTAGAGCGTTCCTATATCACCAAAGCAATTATTTATGGTTGTGTGCCCAAAGCTATGTTTGAATTGCATGCTGATGTTTAAACGGGATCTGACCTATCAGTGCAACTCTCAATTAAGGTGAATTTCATATCGAAGTATCCATTTCAACGTAATTTGGCTATTTGTATGGATCAGACACGCTCCGGATAGCACATGCCTTAGTCGCAAAACGCATACGTAAAATAGTTTATCCCTCAATGAAACCATTACGATTGTATAGGTACGTGATACTGGAATTTAAAGTAATCTCTTAAGCTTATATAGATGAAATGGTTTCTAGTTACGTTTTGTACAATTTTTAAAGCAAAAGGGCATTTTTTAGTGTAAAAAATCAATAATACTATACATTTTATGTGGGTTAATTCAAGTTATTGTTACATAAATAAAAATTTAACTTAAAAATAATGTACATACTGTATATTAGATATTACTTTTATTTTAAATTATGTTAGTTGTATGTAAAATAGTACATTCAAAAACAAACATTTTATGGTAAATGAAGATCTTATTCAACTTTGTCTTCCGTTTATATCTGTACGTCTGTCAGCTTGGTTGTAATAGCTTTCCTCCTTGGAACTTTTGTACTCTGATTATACAATAATGTTAACAACGTGTAAATCAGATCCCTTTGTCTGGAGGTAAGAAACACAATGTTTACCCACTTCTCTCATATTATTAAGGCTGTTTAAAAAAATATAAGTAAAATCTTCCTAACAATGGAAATATAATAACATCTTTGTTGATATTGTTTCGCTATTTTTATTATATGTTTAGTTAAATGAACTACGAAGGGATCACAATTTAATTATAATCAAAATTAATTAAAGAATTTGACAAAACTAAACGACTTTTTAAAAAATTATTGAAATGAAAACTGCTTCAACTGTCTTACCGTTTGAAACTGTTTTTAAAAATCACTTTCTTTCAGTAGTTAGAATTTTTAGTTCGTCATGCAAAATAAAAAACATAAAAATGTTATCCTCATTGAGTTAAAATAAGCAATCACTATTTCGCATTCATATTGTATTCGATGAGAATAAAATGCATAAATTATATTTTTTCCGGATTGAATAATGGCTATAAATTGAAACGGATTTTGTGAATGTGGACTGCGTTCTATGTTATAAATATAAAACGCTCTAACGTGTTCACATATTATTTTAATTAACGTGTGGCCTTGCCACAACTGTCACGACTATTGGTAGATTTCTCCTACGCAAATTATTTATTGACGTGGAATAAGCTCCCTATTATAATCCGCAATACTTGATCACTTCTTCATAAAATATTTTTACTTCATATAAATAAATTAAATTTATCAATTTGATAAGATATAAAGTTATTTAAGAAATTAATATTGCATATTCTAACTCTGATCATACCACTTCGTCAATCCTCGATCGAAACTTCTGATAAAGTTTCTAAATGAATAATATAAGGAACGTCTTATCGAGTACTTAGTTTAAGATCTCACCCATAGCTTAACAGGTTTCCCGAACGAGTATTCGCTTATTATACTTTTATTTTTAATAGCGCCAATAAATGTGATTTTTTGTGCAGCTTACAATGTAATATCTTGACTTAAAATTAAAATAATTTATTAATATTTTTATTAAACCATTTCTATAATTATTCCATATGAATGGTAAATAATATGAAAATTATAAAACCATGACGAGTATTACTTGTTTAATAATTATCTAATAATATGTGTAGGCGTTGAGTGTTTGCTATTTGCACGGTAGTGATTTATAAAATTACATAAAGTACTAGTATGCTGTATAACTTTCTTGTTTCTTATTATGTAATAGTTTGAAGCCATTTCCTAATAATAGATTTTTTTTTCATTTTACATGTATTTTTTGAACACGTTTTTATGATGGATCACTTAATTGTCATTTCGATATACGTAACATTTCTTTGGGCTGCAATCTTTACGAACTAAAAATATATATTTATTTTTATATTAAATAACGTTACACGAAGATTTGATTAACCTATTAGGAATTGATATGTTGTCGTGTTTTATATATGGTTTTCAAAGTTGTAGTTAAGAAATAAAAGATAAACATAACGAAATCAGGCTGCAGCAAGCGGCCTTCCGATAAAGCCTTCAGTTGTTATTAGTGCGGCGAGGTGCGCGCGCGCTCTCCTACCGTTTTCTCGAGGTTTGCGAAACATTGACTTTGATGTTTCACATACAATTATAAATAACTATAAAGACATGCATTTTAATGTTATATAATAATGAAAAATTTTATGCAAATAATATGCATACTCGCTGCCATAAATTTCACATCTGCTGATTTGTATTTAAAAGAAAATGTTAAGAAAAGAAATACCATCATAAAAGTAAACAATGATTTGATACCAACGTGCTATAATATAACGATATTTAAGAATGTGAAATATTTGAAGCGTATCGTAAATGCATCAGAATTTATTTTTACTGGGAAAATTTCAAATGTTCAGCGAAAAAATAATGGTGAGGAAAATCGAAAAGGAAGCGTTTTCAAGGTGTACGTAAGAAGAATATTAAAAGATGATAACGGTGTATTTAGTGATTTATTGAGTACGAATACGTGTAAAAATTCTTCAAAAAGTGTATCTTTATTTGCTGAGGGTGGTCCGTGGAGGAAAATGTGCTCTGTGTCGAAAGGATGGTCAGCAATTCTTTTCGTGGAGCGATTATCACCTATAAAACTAGTGATAGACCCCGTACCTTTAAATCTAGATCGCATGCGAAGATTAAAAGCTGCCATAAAAGGTAATGGTTCTCTTATTTATATTGCTTTATTACCTTAAACAACCGAGAACATTGCAGTTTTATATCTAGAAAGTCGAATACTTTGGTAGTAGTGCTTATAAATTTCTAATTCTAACTTTTCTTAAATGTCTGTTATACTAAAAATAAATTGAATAAATACATTTTTTTATAAACATGTAAATAAAATTAAAATATTTCAAAACCACAGCGCAAAAACTTTAAGAGTTGATTTAATATATTTAAATTTTAATACACAGATAAAAGCTTTCATACATTATCTGTATTCTACACAGATCTACGAATGAAATTGCAAACGAGACAAGAGTTTTAATTGCAATAGAAATATTTACATTTCATATTTGCTCTTCACTTTTAAAAAGTAGTTTAAAATGTAAACATCGTACCTTTTCAGAATGATTATAACGTCCAAATTTAGTAATGTTATAGTGGTGTGATTTTACGGTGATACACCGGCGGCGTTTTATCTCAAAGATGATTATCGGGTGTGAATTGTTAGACCCAAAAGTGGACTGCAGTTATAAAACCACTAAGCTAGGGTTTTATGGTCACTACAGTTCTATTTGGTAATAATTATTAAATCAATCAAATTCTATAATAAATAATTTACATCTGAAACATTATTTTTAATCTTAATATAATATTAATTTTATATCTTAGAGTGAACTTTAAATTATCACTTGACCTGTACTTTTACTTGATAAATATCTAAAATAAAAATAATTAAAGAATCCGCGACCATTAGTAAACAAAGCGTTCGAGAATATACAAGTTAGCTAGTAAAAGAAATAAATTTATCTAGTTCCAATAACATTAAAAATTATGAAGACATAGTTTTATGTCCTAGTCATAATATAGGTACATTTTTCGGAGAAACATATCGTGGGCGGGTCTTATCGTGAGAAAACAAATTCAAAGCACAAAAATGCACACAATCGACTTAAAATATTTTCCTAAAAGTAATGCTTTAAAAACCTATTTGGTAAGAAAGTAACAGAAGATAAAAAATATTTAATCTAACATAAAACAAGACAAGATAAAACTTCGATTATTTGATAAAAGAACCTTTTAAAGATTTATAATAATGAAGACAAGGTCGGCGTTTGATAAAAAGAACGTTAGTCCCCCGAAACAAGGGTCGCTCAAACTGAGTCCGCGAAGTCACCTAGCTGCTCGAGTATGGACCTTATTGGGACCACCAGCGAAGTGCCAGGACAACACGACAAATTTATTGACACTCTTTCAATTAAATCTATTGTTGCTGAACAGACACAGCCGCACCGACAACAGCAGAATAAAACACGATAACTCGCAGCATGAATCTGTAATGCGTAGAGATATGCTCGCACCGCACCATACACCGTAAAAGGAGATTTATTAAAACTATTTGGAAACTGATTCGATCGAAACTGAACGATTTGACATTTAGATAAGAAATAAAATTTATTCTTCCTTTGGTCACATCGCTTCGCTAGTGACAATGGAATAAAAAGGTTATAAAAATGCGCCGGTTGCGGCAGGTCGCCCACGTTCCGCCTGTTGTCGGATGCTCATACGAGGCTACGTATATTGTCTCGAGACTAGTTGCCGCTGTTGGCGGAATAAGACGATTGCGTTATTACGAGGTGCCTATGCTTGCAAGCACGTGTAAATTCCTGTGTGTGAACACAACAGATAAGGTTGCGTGGGCATCAATAAATAAACTACACCGTGTAACCTTTTACCTAACACATTATAACGTTTAACCTTCTTTACAAAAAAAAAAAACTATAGATACTACTTAATAGTATCGGAAGAAAACATAATGTATAACGATAAATACACATACTGCTTCATAATTGTCAATTTAAAAATTCATGTCCCTCGTAGTCTTTTTGGTTACCCAATTTACATACCGCTATTGTATTCGGGTGCGTTTCAATAAAATTTAACCGCAGTCATCTCCACGTGTCCTGTGAGCATCCAAGATGTCATTTTACGAGGATCCTTAAGACCAAGTTAGGGTTATAGCCATAATTCAGTTTTATGAAACTCTCCAAGTAACAAAGTGTATATTTCTTAACTTTTCAAATTCTACTATAAAGCCGATCATATTTTTGTCCTACGAATATAATTATCGAGAAGCGGGACAAATTATGACCATAATAGCGTTGTAATCTTTTGTCTATTGTTGTTTTGAGTTCACCAAAATTATGATTGTTCAAGATAATTTGAGAGTTTTGAAATTTTGTGTTCCTTTTCTATTGCTTCTATTTTTATTATGTCGTGAGTCGTGAATTCAAAGTACAATTTCTAAGAAGAATAATGCTTTGTTTAATATAATTGTTTATTTAGTGAATATTGTAATTTAAAAGAATTTTTGTTATACTTATATTTTTGTTGTGTTAATAATCTTCTGAATGTTAATATATTTATGTTAAAAGCACATTTTGTCACATTAGGGGATGTTCGTGCTGTAATATAATGCAACATGAAATTCGTACAAGTTTACAGCTTCAATAACGAAGTTTACGACGTACACTGCGGTTACGTAGCAAGTGTTAAAAGTGTTTCTAAAGGAATTCTCTTAAATTTTACCTTGTTTTTATAGTTATATATAATTAAAAATATACATTTATATGAACGTTCAAGAATGAAAATTATATTGTATCTATTATACTTAGGTATATATAAAATAATATATTTACATATTTGTTATTTAAAATTTACTAAAGTATATTTAAAATTAAAAACGTATTTTTGAATATAGGTAGCCATTATTCCAATGAAACTGCTGCCTCTTAATTTAAGTATTTTGTTAAGAAAGAATGTATCGATTAGCTGGTTCCCGTATAAATTTTATATAGATCTAATAAAAATTTAGAACTTTAAGAGAACGCACCCTTAATAAGTAACCCTACTATATTTTCATAATCTAATGCTACTTAATATCTTCTTTAAGTCCTTATATATACCAAATATTACCATCTTTATTTTAAGTAAAAAATGTGTTTCTATATAAATATATTAAATTTAATTTTAGATCTGATATCGTCTTTAAAAATCTCGTGAAAGTATTGAAATCTTAAGCACTTCGTTTATTTAGGCCTAAATAAATATCATTTTAGCAAATTCTATTAATTTAAACTTATGTTTTTTCAACATTATCTATATTCCAACAAAAACATTTTATTATAGAATTTGATAATGGCTAAAACTGTTTAAATGTACTTACTCTCCTCCATTATGCGGGGTCTCCCAAAGCTTACAAGCAAAATGGTAGAAAGAAAGGGATGGTATGCTCGTAAAACTGTAACGTCACGGGGAGCTACAGCCATAAAGTAAATGTACATTGGACAGAATATAATTGAAATACTACACTACTTTCTGTGACAAGGTCTTATTTCCATTAATGCGTAGGCGTTTAAACACCCTTCCGCGAGAAAGATAATAAAATTTATCGGTAAGGCAGTAAAAACGACAATACTAATTTTTGCCGTTTGCGTTTAATGTTTATTATATAGAATTTTTATAGGTCGTAACTTTTGGGTAATTCGGAATTATTAAAAATTGTTAACATTCTTGTTTTAAAATTATTGTGTAACGTATTTATTGAATATTCATTCCATGGTTATAATAGTGTGTGGTGGTTTATGGATCCTAATCGTTCTGAATTCATTATTTCTAAACGTAAGTCGACATTCCTTTCTTTTGTTCGGCGACGGTGATGGTTGTCTTCGCCTACACACTTCCGGAGGCAATACAATCCGTTTTGGGTCGGATTGAATCCTATTGCGCGGTAATATATTAACAAAATTAGCATAAAAATAGATTGTTAATATATTAGATTATAAACATTACGTTGCAAATTTTACGTTTTCTTATGACTTTATTTTTTTAGTTACAGATTCTCATTTACGGAAGAGGATACATAATAAATTTATTAAAAAAATAGTAGAGTAATTTGCAATGTTAAAAAAATGTAATTAATATTAAGAATAATATGCAAAGTTCGGAAGGAACATAATTACTTGTGAAATTATTTTCTTGTTTATAGAGGCCTTACAGCAGTTGTTTGGTTTTAATTTTATTTTTATATTTAATAATAATTTATAGTCTTCATTTGACAGCTGACATTATGACATGCTTACGCTTTGTTCATTAATCAGAGAAAGCGATTCAAAATAAGTTTTTTTTTTACTATATTATCTTGATAATTATAAGTAGACACTGATTAATTGGACATTTATTAAAAATAATATAATTTAATCAATATGACTGTAGGACTCATCATACAATATGATTTTTAATCCAAAAATACACTGTTATTTTAATTCTCCGATATCGTGGCAATCAATGAACACAGTTTGTTTTCACAGGCAATAGTCCGATTATTAATATCTGATAAATAAAGTTGTATCAGACCATGTATAATAATGCTATCTTTGAATTAACTGTATTTTAAAAGCACAAAGAGTATCACAGCCTTAATGTTATTTCAGTCGTCCCGCGAAAATGATAATATGAATATAAAGCGAATGTTTAAAATGTACTATCACAGAGAATATAATATCATTCTTCTGCTTCGTTTACGTGAAATTTGAAGTCTGCTTTTGTATGTTTCAACCACTTTTAAAATTAAACTATTATTTTTGTACTTCTTTATAAAATGTGAGCTAATTTATTACGAAGCTTTTTTATATGACAAACATGCTATTTAAAACCACAAATTAGTATGAAACATTGTGTTTGACTCTGTGTAGAACATCAAAGAAGTCTATGCCTTTTTGGGAAACAAGTTTAATAACTTTGCCGAGATATAAGTTTTGTGACATTAGGTTTACTAATTAAGGTAATTCTTTTGTTACAGGTGTGTATCGTGATAGATTTATTGACTTGACTTATTTAATGAAATAATCAGAAAAATGAAAAAGTTAAGGTAAAGAGATAAGCAATGGGAGTACAGGTAAGTTGATAATAGTATATTAATGTACAATATTATTTGATTTACTTTAGGTCTGTATGGCTAAATGTTTCTAGAATCGTTTTTGTACCTTCGCTGTTCCGGGTCACAGAAATGTCTAATCAATCATAATGTAATAACGTTCTTAATAAAAGTCTTTGTAGTTGTATTACATGTTTGTTTAAATAAGATTTCCTAACATTAACTAGATAATAAAATTTTAATTTAATTCATATTAACAAAATTTTTAGAATGTTCTTTAATATACATATTTACCTTTCTATAATAAATAATTACAACTTACGTAAAATTATATTGTGACAAATGTAAAATTGGAACCGCTGAGTACTAGGAATCATTTGAAACATTTCGCTTTGATAAACAATTAAAATTTGAGCGCTACGGATGGCAAAATTGTTCGAAGTTAAGTACCCGTTAAATCGTTGTAAAAAGGAATTAGAGAAAATTCAACTTAATAAATTAAACAAAATTGTTAATTGAAAGATCCATTTGTGTCTCTAACAATTCTAACCTGTGTCTGTGTTAGTTTAGAGAATAAATAGTAAATCGAAGGTATAAGGTAAGGGTTAGCTTTCCCCAAGTCTTATTTGCCTGCACAATATAAGCGGCCCTGCTCTGTGCCCGGTATGCCGTACTTATACTGAGTAAACACTAAACGGGACAGTTTTCAACTAAATGAAATTGTCTGTCTACGATATGATTTGATTTCCTAATGGAATAGCTATTGTTTGCTTTTCTATTATATTAGATCAGGTTTTAACCTTCTAAGTCAATTATTGTTATGGAATTGACTTAGGTTGAATACTTAGTTGTTATGTTATCTTTGAAAATATTTCGATTTACTGTCTCCGTACCAACTCAAAGTTAAATTGTTTGCCTCTTACTTTCTACGTCTATTGAATTTTTATCCGTAAAAAGTAATAATAATATTCTTCAGAAAAAGGTTTTAATTTCCACAGTTTTTTTTATCTATAGTCTATATTTTATTTAAAGTCTTATAATTATGTAACTTGTTCGATTTTGTTATGGAGCACATTGTTTTTCATTTTGATATTCACATTTTAATGAAACTAATATTTTTGGATGACTATGCGTAAATTAAAAATGCGTCAATTCCGACAATATTAGTTTTATTGAAATGAATAGAAAGTCTGAGATCTTATCTTAATGATTATTTATTCATTAGTTGTTATATAGGTTTTGCGTAAATGATTTTTTTTACAACCCACACAATATAAAAAATATATATATCAATAAAAAAGTGCTGGAAATTACAATGTCAATATTTATTTATTTGTTTACTGTTATTAGTTTTACTATTAACCTTATTTGTACATAATTATATCGATTCCTCAGTTACTTACCTGGTAAATTACGCACTAGAAAGAAAGGATAAGGATAAC